AAAATAGGGCAGTTCCCTGAACACTAATATGCCTGAATAATGGATTATCCACAACAGAAACATGTAACAGCTTTGTACACATATTAGAAATGTTACTGTGTAGATACAGTTTGGCTGTCAATATACAAAATCATTCTACAAATTTTCACATGACTTGCTACTTCAGTTTTGGAATAAACAACTCCTCATGTTAATATAGTATTTATTCTCAATTTATTATTTACTTTGTATATATATATGTCGGTTTCACATAACACGTGGTCGAGGAAGTCCGTAACTCGATTTTGTTTTTGTTGTCTTTGTTCTTATGTTATTCTCGAGTAAGTAATACCTGTTCTGCCAATAGATAATATTTATACAATACTGCACGTTGTTCAAGGAAATAGACAGTACTGTTCTTCAATAGCTAGCGAAGATAGCCGTCGAGTGGCTTTGTGCGAAATTCAAAACAAATCACGCTTCATATCTTTTTTTCATACCTCATAGACATGTAGGATATAAAACTGATGTCAAGGTTTTTGAATCATAATCGTATGATATACTGGATAACTAATAACCATGATTAATATCTATATTAGAACGTATGTTGAACGAGACAGATATCTTTATCATGTGGCCATGTTTGGAGCACAGTGACTTGGGGTAAGATTGTCATTTTGATTAGGGGAATCTAGTATCATGAAAACGATGTGGCTGTGTAAGTAGTTCTTCATTGAGGTGCTTTTTTGTTATGTGTTCTAACGGAAAAAATTAACGTGAAATTATAGATTGTCATCTTGTGATAAAATCTTCACTGACAACAAGATTTTGTTAACACAATTTGCTGATTCACCCTGCTCTACCAAATGATTCACCAGTAGTTCATCCTGACCTATTTCATATATCCAAGAAAATACCAATTATTTACACTTCTCATATTTATGTTGCCTACATTACTGTTTCTCATTTCAACGTAAAATATATATATATTTAGGAAGAAGTAACAATCAGTTATGTTGGCTACTATACCGTTTTAGTGTATTTTTGAAGTTTTTAATACGACTGTAAATAAAAGATACTTTTAACTTAAAAGCATTAGTTGTGAACTTTCGACACTTTTGTTGAGGTTTTAGACTATGAATGTTAGTTCCTTAAATAGTTGATTTAGTTACGACATTTATATCACAATAAGAAAAGCCCAAGAAGAACGTTTCTCCATAATTTTTTTACATGAAACACATATTAGAATAGAAAACAAAATTGAGAAAATTAACCAAAATTGCAAATTCAAATAAAAAATGCAACAAATGAAAAATGAAATTTAAACACCTTAAACGCTTACAATTATAAAAAAACTCTTGTAATCATTGCAAAAACACTGAAAAATTCAACCAAAAATACATTTTCAAAAACAAAACAAAACGAAAACATTCAACAGCTTGAAGTTGAGAAACAATTTAAACTCTTACAAATATTGTTCTCATTTTAATAGTAGAGAAATTAAGAGTACATTTATAATGTTATCTTGCTCTGTTATCCATATCCAGTTAGAAAAATTCAAAGATGTATTCCTTCTTTGATGTATTCTTTATTTCAGCGATTGGAAGTTACAGCCTCAGGTAGTACTCTAGGTTATGTTGTACAGGAATGGAGCATCTTTGTCCCCAAGTACGAAGTTCAGAATGCTGCTGGGGAGTGTGTTTTACGAATTGAGGGACCATTTTGTACATGGAGTATGTGTGGTGATGTGGAGTTCAAGGTTTGAAATTAAATGTTTATCATTTCCATTTGCTAAGCCTCTTTTCCGTAAATCATGAAGATAAACTAAATGTATGATATCAAAGAAACATTTTTATCCAATAGGTAAGTGTAAATTATTTGCACTGTAAAAGAATATTATATTCAATGCTAACAGTTATTCAATTTCTTGCTCAAGGTATTATCCCATGATAGAAAAACACAGGTTGGAAAAATCACTAAACAATGGACAGGATTTGTTCAAGAAATGTTCACAGATGCAGATCATTTTGGGATTACATTTCCAATGGATTTAGAGATCAGTATCAAAGCTCTTCTACTTGGAGCATGTTTTCTAATAGTAAGTGTTTGACATTAAGAATATCTAACATTTTTATTTTTATATAAGATTTTAGGGATGGCTATACATGTTTTCATGTTTCGCTCAACCCTATTTTCTCCCAGGAACAGAATAGGACTTTTATATTTGAAAACTTCATAACGATGTTGTATATTCAGGAGTGGCCAGTGATGCTGAAGCCAGCCTTGGAGTATTTTTGAAAGTAACCCTAAGAAATTAGGACACAAACAAAGAACTTCATTCCAATCCCTTTTAGTGAGGTTTCTAAAATCGTTTATTTCTTTTTACCGCTTTTCTGTTTCTTGAAATATAATTTTCAAAATTCTTCAATCATTGTATAAAAACACAGGTTTATAAAACCACTGATTTTTAGCCTAATACTTGGTAGATATCTTGATTATGAGATTTCTAATTACAATGTCATCAGCTCATTTAGTAACCTGCATAAGTTTGGCATTTTACATTATGCATTGCCAATTCGAATTGCGTAAAATGGTATTAATTTGAGGTATTAGTGTATATAACGACTTTAGTTGCTAAAACACTAGTAAAAAAGTTTTAATTTGAAAATAATCTTTATTTTTATTAAACAGCAACCCTAGTTATGGTTCTACTCCTTTGATTATGTTTTGCAGTATCGACAAAACACTTAGAAGTGACTTTATCTAGCTGTAATACTTCATTGGCAATCTTTTCATCATTATGCTCTAAGACAAGCAAATCTAATTATAGTATTTTGGTATTTGTGTATAAATTTAAAATCATAAATAATGTTACGACAGCGGAAGTCGTGCGACGCTGGGAGCATGCGCTGGAGTTCTAGAAAGATCGAGGAACCTGTCGAACGTCCTAGCGTTTGCTAGATACACCTTCTATTGTGTATAAATAAGACCGGCGAGAAGTGACGGCATAGATAGATAGATATAGATATAGAGACAGACAATTGAGTCAAGAGCGGTAGTAAGTAAAGTGCGTGAATCGTTCGTTGTGAATTATAGCGTGTGTTCAAGTGAAAGTGACTGTGGAAATTAAGTGTATTGAATTGAGAAAGAATAAACTAGTTTCATTTAAGAAAATACTTGTATCGCTGAAGTTTCTCGGTAAGAAATTATACGGGAAATTAACAAACGACCAGAGACGTAAGAAATTGGTGTCAGGGAGTGGGACAGAAAAAAAGAAAAAGAAAATAGAAACGAGAGGTGGCAAATCAAACTACAGCTTAGCAGATTTGATGGCAACAATACAAGAACAGCAAAAGAAACAAGAAGAGAGACAACAGCAGTTGCAAGAAAACCTGCAACAGTGACAGCTCGAACAGCAAAATAAACAAGAAGAGAGATTAGAACAGTTGTAGGAGGAAAAAGAAAAGAAACAAGAAGAACGAGAAAATAAGCAAGAAAAGAAACAAAAAGAACGACAAAAGAAACAAGAAGAGAGATTACAGCAGTTGTTGGAAG